ATTCATATTCTCAAGCCTCTATTTTAACCACTCACTACATTTTTTTTTTCTTTTTGTCAAACTTTACTGAATTCCACGTCAAGTTGGGGGGGGCGGGTGTCTTTTATATCCCATAATTGCAGGCTTCAGTGGGGTGGTAAGGTGGCAATGGTGAATCTGGGGATCTGGTCTCCCAAGAGAACCTGTCGCTCTACCCCCGATTCTGCAATGGATGCCAGGCGGATCACCCCTCCACTGGAGCCGTCCCGCTCCATGGCCAGAGCGAGAGCATTGGCAGGGAAGTGCAGACACTCCTCCTTGGTCATGCCCTCCCTGTAGGTAGGTAGCATCGACTTAGCCATAGATATAGGAGCTCCCGGAGCCTCCGATGGCAAAGGACTGCTACACCATCATACCCCCCATGGGCACTGGGGGTGTGCCCTCCTTCTTGGGGGTCCCAGCCTGCGATGATGATTCCTGCCATCAGGTCTTCCCGGTATCGGTAACGCATCTCCTTAAAGAGGCTGGCTGCAGTGTACCAGTGGAGGCTCATTGAGCTCAATGCTGTGGAAGCCTAGCTGGTAAGTGATGGCATCAGCTACAGCCTGGGTATCAGCAGCTGAACCGGAGCGAGCGGCAGCAGAATATTCGATCATGAATTGGGGTCAGCTTGACAGTCACTCGATTGGCATTGTAGGGCCCAGTGGTTGTTCTGGAGTCGGCGCCCAGAACCACGCCCCCGTCAAACTGCACAGCCATGATAGTGGTCCCTGTGGAGACTTCTCGGTTTTCCCAATCGGGGGTGAGGGCCTGCGGCCCCCAGGCCGGTGCAAGCCCCAATTCTGGAGCAGCTACCACGGATGCCGCCATCTTTCTCTTCTAGTGCGGCCACAAAGCAACTCCCACTCACTACATTTCACTGTTGTTGAGTCCATTCCAACTCCCGACCCAATCGCCCTCGTCGGTTTCTGAGGCTGTCAATCTTTATGGGAGTAGAAAACCTGGTCTTTCTCCTGCAGAATGGTTGGTGGGAAATGAACTGTTTGCGCAGCACATAACCCACTACACTATGCGGGCTCCACTGAATAAGTAAAGGAAGGAATGCTGCTTTGCCAAAGCAGGATGAGAACCAACTTTTGATCTAGAAAACCTGGATCCCTTCAAAAAGCCCTTGGAAAGGTATCATGTTACCTTGTTCATAAAATCCCTCCCTCTGTCACACCACCCACACTCACACCCATGCCACGTGGAACATCTGAACACAGTCCCATTTCCTGAAGCGTCACCTGCACAGCTACTTAACGAATGCCAGTGATCTGCAAAGTAAGCTAATGACTCCCACATCAGCAGCTCCATCCCCAAAACGTTAATTGAAAAAAAAAAAAAAGCAACCATTTCTAAATACAGCATTTACACTAGAATTTTAAGCACTTCATTCTAAAATCGTTTTTCAAGAGTGTAAGCTAAGGACTGCAGAAGAGCATCAGCCCCCTCCTCCCAGCTGAGGAAATCTAATGAACAAAGGGTCAAGTGTCAGCAGTGGGGGCCAAACCTCTAAAACAGTGGTTCTCAACCTTCCTCCTCTGTTGTAGGGCCCCCCCAACCATAAAATTTTCATTGCTACTTCATAACTGTAATTTCGCTACTGTTATGAATTGTCATGTAAATATCTGATATGCAGAATGTATTTTAATTGTTACAAATTGAACATAATTAAACATAATGAAAGTATAGTGATTAATAACAAAGCAATATGTAATCATATATTGTGACATTTTTATGGTCTTAGGCAACCCCTGTGAAAGGGTCGTTCGACCCCCTAAGTTCGAGACTCACAGGTTGAGAACCGCTGCTCCAAAAGAAGAAACAGTGTACCCAAGAGACAGACTAACAGAGTGGCTAAATGAAACCCACCTGCGGACAAACTGCCCTGGGTTACCAACCTATTCCAGTCCCTTACTGTTTTCACAAGTGCGAAATAAGGCTAACAAAAATAGCGACCCCATCGGGAAGGCAAACAGTCCATCCATGTTAGTGTCATAGCTCCTCCATTTCTGCTTCAGGCAGAAAAGCACGTGAACTGGCCCTATTAATAGTTTTCTCCCCAAAATTTCAAGAACCATTGCTGCCTGCACAGCACTTTTTTGGAGAGGTGAGGTGGGAAGGGTGTAGGTTACATTCTATTTCCCAAGAATTCACCCGCAAGAGTTATATGGAAATCTGAAATGGTAGTGAGTTCTTTTAGGAAAAATGAAATATTCTTCCATAAGAGAAAAAAGTAATAGTTAATAGTTATCAACTGCTTTCTAAGTGTGTGCCACAGGTATTTCTGATTTAATTCTTACAGCACAGCCCTGGTCTCAAGTTGCCCTCCTCTGAGTTCCTACGGTTCGTGTTGTTTTTACCCCAGCACAGTACATCTCACCACCGCCTCCCAGTTGCTACTGAATTGATGCTAGCTCATCGTGACCCCAAGTGTCTCAGGGTGACTGTGCTGCGCAGGGTCCTCATGGCTGTGACCTGTGGGAAATGGATCACCAGGCCTTTCTTTCAAGGTGCTTCAGGTGGACTCCAAACACCAACCTCTAGGTTAGTAGCCTACCACTTCACATTTTACACCACCCAGGGTCTCCGGCACATTATTATTAGTGTCATGTAATTGCCTGCTTATTGATTTAAAAAGCTCACCAGATGACAAACTTCTTGAGGGCAGGGATAATGATCAGGTTGACCAGTTATTTGCTCTTCCAACAAATATTCTGAGCATGAACAAGACAGAAATGGCAAGGTTCACTGTGATACTTTCCAAAGATGGTTGCAACATTCTGTCTCCCATCCTGCATCCGCTCATTCAGCATACTCTTCTTACCTTAACACGCACGCCTATTAAGTTTGGTTGTGGTGGTGGGCCTAGGGGTGGGATGTTAAGGGTTATGTCCCTTCTCCCTTGAACCTGCCACAATAGGGTATAGCAAAAGGCATGCCATATGACTTGTGAAACTAAATGAAAGCACAAAAGCCTATGTATGTCTACCTCATTCTCTTGGGAACTCATGGGATCCAGTGGTGGTGGTGTGCTCTGCTAAGTCAAGTCTGACTCATAGTGACCCTACAGGACAGAGCAGAACTGCTCTGTAACCATTTACGGAAGCAGATCACCAGGTTTTCTCTTCTGCGCTGAGCTAACAGCCAACAACTTAACCATTAACTAGCCCTTGAGTAAAGACCACATGAAGAGTGAAGAGGTAACCAGCTCTGCTGAGGCCCCAGACATTATGTGAACAGGGATAAGCCTTCTCTACTGTCCCTTGCTCAAATCCGTTATCCACAGCATCATAAACATAAAAAGACTTCTATACACCACTACGTTTTGGGTTGCTTTATTATATGCAGCATTCATAACCAGAACCACCACACTAGGACATCTGAGTCTAGCAAGAAAGGCAGACATGGGCTATGTGTTTCCAAGGCAATGACAATGCCTAACACAGTAATTAACACAGTAATCAGAACAGAGTGACAGAGGTGGTTTCATTATGCCCACTGGCTTTGAAAGGGTAAGTACCTTGTTCAAGGCCACTTAGCTGGTCAGAGGCAGAACAAACACAAACTCAGATCTAAATCCATACTCCCAATATTATCGTCTTGTCTCCCTCAGAACTGAAAAGCAAATCGTTTCAGGAGAGCTTTTATAATTTGATGCTAAGTACCCAGCACTCTGTTTTAAATGGGATGTTCAGTCTTTAAAAACATTCTGGCCTGAAAGGGCTCGTGATGCAGTTTTCATCCCCGAGGTGGAAACCCACACCTCCCTTCCTCTGAGAAGCCTTCCCTAATTCATGTAACGTGAGCCCCTCCACGCTTCAGCCCTTCGACTCCATGAGCTTCATTTTCTTTCTAGCACTTATCTCCAGCAGAAAGTATCTTGTTTACTCATTTGTTCACGTGCCATAGATCCAACTTGAATATATGCTCCATAAGTCAAGGACCTATAGCCTATCCTCTGTACCCAGGACAGTGCCTAGAATAGGGTAGGCACTCCAAAACCATTGACTGAATGAAGGCATTTACTGCATTCAGGAACACTGAATGTCCAACCAATCTCACCACCCACCAACAATGTTGTGCAAATAGTGCAGATAAGATAAAATACAATCTGAAAACATAGCAGGACAGCTGCAGAGTCAGGACAGTAGGTCTGTACACAAAACGGAGGGGGCAGTATTCATACCACAACCCACCCATTTTGAAAAGCATCAACTGAGTGCACAGAACAGCCAAGAGTCCACAGAATGGCCAATCCAACTTTCAATTCCAAAAAGTTGGTGGGATGGGGTAGGGAGTACAGAGCAAAAAAGAAAAGGCAAAGGTTGCACTGCCGGCCCTCCATTCTAACCTTTGTCTTTTCATTCCTCAAAAGATGCGCTTTCTTCAGTCACACTGGCTGAACCTAGTGACTCTACCCTCACACCTTCTAGCACTTTCTTACTCACCTGACAAGCCTCCCTGGCTGGTGCTGTGCTGTCCCCACAAGGGAATAAGAGGCAGTGACCAAGCTCATCCTGGAAGAGGTGAGGAGGGAGCTTCAGACCCTGAGCAGGGGTCTCTGCATAAGCAGGTCCCCCAACTGTCCTCTTTCTCCCAGAATTGAAGGTAGCCCTTCCAGGGGGCGAGGGGTGGGGGCTACCAAATGCTAAGTAATATGCTGGGCTCTTAAATATATTTTTTATTTTCTTTCTTCTCGTTCCCCCGCCCCCACCCCCGGTTTAAGGGCCGTTTCTTTGCCCAAGAATTTAGAGAGGCCTCAAATACAACTTCCCCATCTCAACGTTCTCTTTGATCTGCTGCCCCCTACCCCAAGAAATCCCCCTCACTCTGGGAACGGTTGGGGGGCATAAAGAGACACCTGGAGTGGCCTAAGACCTAGAACGGGGTGGGGGTGGGGGGACGGCAAGAGGGGGTTATACCGGGCAGGGCGGGGCCCAGGATCAATAAAGGTTGAGATAAGAACGTGGTCTGACCCTTTCCAAGCCCAATGTGTCCATCAGAGGAGGCGGCGAGGAGCAGGAGGCTGAAGCCTAGCAAACAGGTGGTCCCGAGCCCAGACCGCAGCTCCATGGTGGCAGGGGCGCTGGGCCGCACGGCGGAGAGCAGCAAGGTCCGAGTCCCAGCGGCAGGTCCGCGCCGCCCCGCGAGCACGCTTCAGGCCAACCCCTGGCTTTCCCAGATTCTTTTCCCCGAAACCCTGGAGGAAGTGATGTTAGACGGATGTGGGTGGTGCCTCCAGGGTTCGATTTGGGACGGAGTACGTTTAAAGGTGCAGATCCCGTAAGCGGCAAAATGCGGGAGTTACCCTGAAGCGCAAGTTCTTTCCAGCGGATTCTGAAAGCCGGGTCCCTCCCGCGACCGAGGGCGAAAGGTCGACTGAGCCGGGGGGCGGGGGCGCAGACGCGCGGGAACCGTTGCTGGTTCCGTCGCTGGGAATCACTACACTTTATATTCAAAAGGCAAATCTTTGATCCGGGACTGCTACTTTAAGCCACTGAGGGGTTACCCACCGGGCTAGAATTCTTCTCCCCACTTCTCATCTAAAACACACCGAAAGCAGTTGATGTCACTCTGGTTCCTGCTCGGGACTCCGGGGAGACCCGGCGCGTATGCTCTCCGGTGCAGGATCTCCATGTCTTGCTGGAATGTCCCCAAGTGCCACAGAAAAATCACTGTACCGAATTTATTCTTCCTCGTAAACGTAATTCTTCCACCTAAAAATGATGCAACCCACGGATACAAGCGCTGAGAAAACCGAACTTGGAGCTGACCTGGATGAACCAGGGCTTCAGTCACTGCAGACATTACATGGAAAATGTCTCCTCGTTAAACCCGTTTCTGTTGTTTTAAAATTCTACGCGGGTTAAGCTATTTCTGCTCACTTTTTCTTTCCTTTACTTCATGGAAAACGTCGAAATAGGGGCACAGTTTCTAACAGTGCGGATTTTTTAAATATTAGAAAGCGACTGGACAAAAAGTACAAATCCAAACAAAAGTACTCTAGCCCTTTTATTTAGGCTCTTTGGTTTGTAGGGAACCCTGTTGGCCCAGTGATTAAAGCACTGGGTTTCGAATCCAAAGGTACGAGGTTCGAACCCATCAGCCCCAATATAGGAGGGAAAAAAATTGTGACCAGCCTTGGAAGTTCCATGGGTGCAGTTCTCTGCCTTATAGGGTCTCTAGGAATCAGAATTCCGCCAAGGCGGTGGTTTTTCCAATCTTTGCTGCTAGAGAACGCAGCGGAATGCACCGGAGACTGCAAGCTCCAGGATGCTGCGCGCTCACTTGCACCTGCTGCCGTTCTAGTGGGAGGCGCACAGCATGCTGGGCATTGTAGTTCAAGTGTGGACTCCCCGATTGGCCTCTCTGCTGTGGGAGAGGTGGAGCCGGCTGTATCACGTGGACTTTGCTCCCGCCGCCTTCGTCTTTCTCTGTCTCCACTAAGGCAGCCATCTTGCTCTTGCCGCGTGCTGGTGTTTGAGGACCCTCCCTGCTTCAGGTGAGACCCCCGGCGGTCCCGCCACTCCACGGCCATAGGCCACTGTGCACGGTCTCCCCCCGCCCTCCTTTTCCGACACCCGCCAACCGCTCGGGCTGCCACTTCCGTCGTGGCGCGCCAAGTGGGGGCGGAGGCGGCTGGCTTGGCCTGTAGGTTACCGGCGGCGCAGCTGGGGGTCGGCACCTAGGGAAGGTCCCCGGCACCACCGCCTCGCTCACTGCGGGCCCGCGCTGTAGCCATCCAGAGACTGTCCCAAGGAGGCGAGTGGTCCCCCGGCCCCGCGACCCGTCCTTATTCGCAACAATGCCCCGAGCTTGGTACAGCCCATCCCTTGCCGTCTCATTTGATCTTCCCAGTGAGTTCGTTAGGGTCAGCTGGGAAACTGAGGTTAGCACCCCTCCGCATCCCAAGCACTTGGGACCGAACTTTGTTGCAGCGCCCGTCACCTTGTCGCGGCAGTGTTTACAAGTCCGCCTTTCTCTTCCGAGCCCTCTCCTCGCCCAGCTTTATCGCTTAATCAACTGCCTGGTGTCTGGGAATAGACGATGTCTATCCTGGCCCGGTGTCATACGTGAATGGCGGTATCAACTTTGGTTTCCACATTGTTTCACTGTATGCCATAGCCGTCTCCGAAAGTGGTAACAATAGTTACCAATCCTTTGAAACGTACACTCAGCTTGATCCTTTAGCCTTTACCCATAAAACAGCCCTGTGAATGATGTCCTGTTACTGCTTCTCTAAAACGAGTTTTAGAAACTTTGGGAGGAAAACCAGTTTAAAGAAGTAAACTAACTTCCCAGCAGGTTAAAAGAATTAGCTGTACAATGTGGAACCCTTAAAACCTCTCCAAACGCCACATAATAGAGAACGGGAACTGAAATCATCTATGTAAACATGTTTGGGAAAGTGGCTACCACACTTTTTTGGAACGCAGGAACTCAATAAATATTGATTATTCACACCCTGGAGGAAATGGATAAAAGGTCCAGGATTCTCAAGAATTCACTAATTGCCTTAGGAAGTTACCTTCGCCCTTCAGAGACCCTCTTTCCTTTCCTTATGTAATACAAATAAGGGGCAGGGGTGGGCTCCTCTATTTGTCTATAATTTATACGCTGCTACTACCAGCAAGTCTTTTCAATGACCTCTCATTTAACGCAAGGATGTGGGGCATAGTCAAGGTTGATTGGGGAGGAGGAAATGAAAAACAGCTGCTCTCTGAGGTCTGCTCCAGGTTCTGAGCTTGCTATCTCTCTGGACAGGATCCGGTCTTCTCAGGTCTTGAGCCGTACACCCCGACCAGCTAGTAGACAAAGGAGCACTCTTCTTTCCCTCTTATCTCCTGGAGCTCCCCCAACCTCCCCTCAATGCAGGTTCTCTAAGATAGTCCTTGGGAACAAGGTTTCTTCATTCTGTTATCCTGACTGCCCAGCATAGAATCTGACCTTTCTTTGTCCACATGGATGAAAGAATTAATTTTATTCTTGTTTTTGTTACCTGTAAGTCTGGACTCTTTTTGACTTGACTTTCCAACTCCTTCTCTTGGGAATTGGTATTTCCAAATGACAAGTAACAAAAGGTTTAAGTCTGTCTAATTATGATAACTTAGCTCCTTTTTTGGGGGGTGGGGGCAAGGAATTCCTTAGGCTTTTTGTTAGTTAGCTATACCTTTGTGGCCACATTCCTTTGAGAAAAGTGAATCTTGATCTTCCGTGGCTGTTTGAGTCTAAAGATAGGGATTTATGGCAGCAGATTTCTTGGCAGAGGTGAGCTTGGCACACCTAAGACTTCTGGGCGTGCACACTACTCACATATGTGTCTAAAAAGAGTGTTTTTAGCTCCTTGAGTACTTTGATACAGTGCCAAACACACATTGAAGAGTCGTAAATTCTAAATATTACTTGAGAAGTAGACTTTGGCCTTAAAGAGGAATAAGAATGAAATACACATATATGTAGCTTTGTGCCTACACAGTTATTACAATTCAAACTGGTTAGTAATCTCATACTATCTTTCATTCTCTCAGACCTCAAAGGTTTATTTGCTTTCTCTTTTGCATCTCAAACCAGAGAGCTCATATTCACTGCCATCCAGTAAACGCTGACTCAGTGACCCCCCCTTATGGGTTTCCAAGCACCCAATCTTTCACCTGTGGAGGAGGGAGGTGATGGTGGTTTCAAACTGCCGAAGGTGCAGATCGCAGCCCAGTGCTGAACCACCACACTACCAGGGCTCCCGTGGGGGAGAAAGGCAAGGCTTTCAGCTCCAGTAAAGTAAGACCCAGAAACCCACATGGGCAGTTCTACCCTCCCTTTAGGGACACTGAGTCAGAATTGACATGATGGCAGTGCATATGGGGCTTGGCGGGGAGGGGGGAATCTGAGTGATCCTCTTTTGATCTGCAGAACAAGTACAACAAGACTTTATCTTTGACTTTTGTTTGTATTGTGTGGAATGTTATGACCCATTATAAACTTAGGAACTTTTTGTCCTTAGTCTAGTAGGACTATCATTAACCAGACTGGGATTTATTTTTGCATCCCCTGCCCCAGAATTTAATGTTTGTAGCAGAGATGCATTTGTCAAATTGTGTGATGAATTATTTTGCCCTGTGTGTTGAGGGAGTGTCTAGAAGAATGGCGTATTTGTGAAAGACACTGAATGAGCTCTGTAGCGTACTACAGAACCACTGAATGTCGAAGTCCGGGTCTCTCTCCTTAGTAACATGCCGCTTTGAATAGAAGATGAGACTACCTTAGAACTTGACAGGCCAATTATTGAAATTCTTTGCCCAGCTTTTTTTCCCTTGCTGTTTATGGTTTATAAGAAATATAGAAGGTTATTTTGAAGGGGAAAAAATTCCTCTTGAAGGTTTTGGTATGACATCTGATAACAGTTCTCTGCTGTAAAAATCTTGCGGTAGCGGGGAGGGTAGGAAGTAGTTTCCCAACAGAGATTTCATAATTGGTTTGGCTTTACTGAATGCCAAAATACTAAATCGTGTTTATAAGGAGAAATTTTCAAGTAAGTGAATCCCACTTTACTGTCTGTATGTATATACAACTCTTTCATAGTATTATCAATTTGATGCTTTTACTATCTGGTTTATGTAGTAAAACAAGTATATATTGACAGTATTAATATGATTATGGTGATGCATATGGCAAGCTCGAAAAGAATATTAAAATCCTTGAAGGTTCTAGTCACATAAAAAGTTATTTTATTTTGCCTAAAACAGTGGACTTTAACAAATCTATTTTTCCCCTCCTAGATTTACCATCAGCATGAATCAAGAAAAGTTAGCCAAACTTCAGGCTCAGGTCCGGATAGGGGGCAAGGTGAGTGTGTCATAAGAAAAACTGATAGGGGGGTGTCTGATTACCAGATAGTAAAATTATTTTGGATTTGTGGCTGTTGAAAATCTAAGATGTTCAATCATCAAGACAATCCACATTCCAATTTGAAAATAACTTGTCTAGGTTTAAAATACAGAGCTAATCGACTTCTAATGGATGGGACGATGGAAATAGCCACCTTTTAATCCCAATTCTTAATATATGCTGTGACATGAGCAATTTTCTCAACTTCATAAACATCGATTTTCTCATCTGTGAACTGGAACTAATTCTATGTAGGATAATTCCAAAGATTAGAGCCCAAACCCACTGCCATTGAGTTCATTCTGACTAACTCTGACATCTATACACACTTTAGGAGACCATAAATCTCTTTTTTTTTTTAAATCATTTTATTAGGGGCTTATACAACTCTTATCACAATCCATACATACATCAATTGTGTAAAGCACATTTGTACATTCATTGCCCTCATCATTCTCAAAACATTTACTATCCACTTAGCCCCTGGCATCAGCTTCTCATTTTTCCCCCTCCCTCCCCATTTCCCCCTTCCTCATGAACCCTTAATAATTTATGTTATTATTTTGTCATATCTTACACTGTCCAACATCTCCCTTCACCCACTTTTCGGTTGTCCATCTCCCAGGGAGGAGGTTATATATAGATCCTTGTAATCAGTTGAAGCCATAAATTTTTACAGAAGCACATACCCTCAGCTTTCTCTCACTGGTAGGTTTGAACCTCTGACCTTTAGTTAGCAGCCCACTTACCCAGCAGCACCACCAGGGGTCTGAAAGATTAAAGTAGTATTTACAAAATACCTAGCATGGTATCTGGTAAAATAAGATGCTTAATAAATGATAGCTGCTATTATGCATAGTTATGTGCTCAGCTGCTAACTACCAGGTTGGGGGTTTAAATTTACCCAGTGGCAGTTTGGAAGAACAAACACTCAGCCATTGAAAAACTTGTGCAAAACTAAGAGATAGTGGAGTTAGTTGCCTTGAATTGGAATGGACTCAACAACTGGTTTATTATATTAGCTTCCCCTGCAGAGCATACCAAATGTTAATACTACCTCACCTTGATGGGATACTCGCCGATTACATTATACACCTATTATAACAGCAAAGTTTCCAGAAGATTTTACTATAAATGCTCAAGCTGATTGCACATTTTTTTATTGCTAGGACCTTCAAGTTCTTCCCTAGTACCTATTCTGTGTAGGTAAATATGTTGCAACATCATACGGTTTCTAAGAAAGAGCTAATTTAGAGCACCCGCATCCATGATTCCCTTCAGCTTTGGCACCAACTTCAAGGAGATAATTCTATTTGTATCTCTGCTCGGTGCAATCTAGGGAAAATGAGAACAGTACTTCAGATTTGGGACTAGGGAATGCAGGACACTGCTTTATGTAGCTGCCTCACTATGCCATTTGCTTTGATAATAACTGAACATCCTGGGATCAGGAATGGAGTGAGGGAAGAAATGAATAGTACTTTCTACTTCCTTCATAGTGATATAATTTTAAGACTTTGGAATCATTAGTCATGTAAACATGTAAGCCCTAGTTGCTTAGTGGTTACGTGTTGGGCTGCTAACTGCAAGGTCAGCATTTCGAAACCACCAGGTATTCTGTGGGAGAAAGAAGAGGCTTTCTACTCCCACAAAGAGTTACAGGCTCGGAAACCTACAGAGCCAGTTCTACCTCGTCCTGTAGGGTTGCTATGAGATGAGATGAGATGTATAACCAAAATAACCATATTGCAATAGCAAGTATAATGTAATATACCAAAGTAAAAATTAGGGATGTTGGAGAACCACAGAACATAAAGAGCTTGATGCAGCATATTGCTGTTGCAGATTTTAAACATGGCTGGGGCATTTATTCATTTAACTACCATTTCTTGAGGACCTACAAAGTGCCAGCCACCTAGTTGATAAATAAGAATTTTTCTACTCAGCTTGAGAGTGGGAGGCATGCCCATAATTATAATACATTAAATGTTAAAATGAAAGAAGTAAGGGGGGGCACTTGACTAATAGAGGTGAGTCAGTAAAAGAGCTAAAGTTTTTAAAGGATAAATAAGTTATCACTATGTACAAATGTGCTTTACATAATTGATGTGTGTATGGATTGGGATAACAGTTGTATGAGCCCCTAATAAAATGTTAAAAAAAAAAAATAAGTTATCACTAGGCAGGTTGGAGGACAGTACGAGATAAGGGGAGTGGAGTGTCATTTCCACGAGTGCAGAGGCACCTAGTGAGATACAGTGGCTCTTAAATAGAATGACTTGTTTTAGTTTGGGACCGGCTGAATTTAGATTAATGGAAATAACACTGGACCAGATAATTTGGAGTTAAGTCTTAGAGAGGTTTATAGACCATATGAAGGAATTTGGAATTTATCTTCTTGATAATGAGCAAATACTGAACGTTTAAGAGGTGAAATGACAGTCATTTTAGAAAAGAGGCTGCTGGTAGTGTGGAAAATGGAAGTTGGGAAGAAAGGAAACCAGTCCAGAAACTGTTGCTGTAGTTCTATGGGATATATATTTAGGTGTTGGAATTGACTCAGTGGCTGATAGAATTTAGAGGAATGAAGAAGAGGGGAAATCAGAGATGGATCACCAGATTTTTTAAAAGTCATTTTTTGGGGGGGGCTCTTACAGTTCTTGTAACACTCCATACATCAATTGTATCAAGCATATTTGTACATATGTTGCCATCATTTCCGAAACATTTTCTACTTGAGCTTTGGTATAAGCTCATCTTTTTTTCTCCCCTCCCTCCCCCACCTTCGGGTATCCTTGATCAATTATATACTGTTATTGTTATTTCGAATCTTAGACTGTCCATTGTCTCCCTTCACCCACATTTCTGTTTTAGAGACTGAATGTAGTGCTGCCAAGTATAAAACGGGATAAACAGGACAGATAGGTTGGTAGACTGATAAGCTTTTAGACTTTGAGGTTCCTAAAGATCATTTGAGTTTAGGTATTCGAGCATTTGAGCTATCTCTGAGTCAGGAACATTCATAAATAAATGACCATTTGTGTGAGAAGTTGCTGTTCCATCCCTCAGCAACCTGGATCTGGTCATAGCCTCTGTTGATCACGCAGCAACTCACAAAGCTGTCATCCACGCCTACTGGAGATGTTGAGTCTGAAGCCCCTCCCTCCACTCTGTAAGGCTGATTTATTTTCCAGAAGCCACCCAGAGATTGAACTCTCTATTCCTTCTACCTTGCTCTACTCAGCTCACAAAGATTTAACCTTTAGGCTTGGGCTGCTTTAAAAGGTAGTATTTCAGCTCTGCTTTCAGTTACATTTTGTAAACTAACGAGTTCCTGGATCATTTTAAATAGTTTTTCAATGGGAAAGTGCATTTAAAGTTTCAAAGCACATAAGTTTGTAAATTAACCTTTCTTTATTCGTCTCAATAGACAGTATCATTTTCAACCCATTTTCTCAGGCCATAAATGTAAGCATCATCCCAGGTGCTTTTCTTCATACTTCATTTTCAGGAACTGTTCCCACCTCTCAGAAGCAGACCTCTCACCCTCTCCACTGCCACAACCCTCCTCTCTTCCCAGGACTGTTAAGTAGACTCCTGACTGGTCTTCTTATAGTCCATTTGCCACTCAGCAGCCACAGTCATTTTTTCAAAACCGTAACTCAAAGATGCCTTTTAAAAACATGCTCAAAGTCACCACTCCTCTGATGGAAACCTTCCAGGGGCTTCCTATTGCAATTAGAGTAAACTCTAACTCCTGCCCAAGGCACTCTAGGCCCATGTGATCCGGAGCCACTATCCCTGAGTTCACTGTCCTCTTCTCCCCTTGTTCATTCTGTTCTACCCATACTGCCTTGCTTTCTCATTTGCGTTCCTTCTACTTGGATCACTCTGCCCTAGGTCTTTTCTTTTTTTTATTTTTATCATTTTATTAGGGGCTCATACAACTCTTATCACAATCCATACACACATCAGTTGTGTAAAGCGCATGGGTCTCAGCTCCTAAGTTATCCCTTCAGAGGGGTCGTCCACGGGCATTCCCGTGAAGAAGCGTTTTGTCTCCACCCAAGCACACAGCACTGCTGATTTGGCTTTGTGGGCTTATTTTCTTTTTTCCTTATTAGCCCTTACCGTATTTTAAATTCACTAATTTATTTGTATATTTATTGACTTTTCCTCCCACTATAATATATACTTCTTGAAGCTACTTTGAAGAACTTGACCTTTTTCGTTCCTGGATTTTCAGAGTCTAAAGCTTTCACATAGATAGATATAAAGTGCTTGGCTGCTAACCAAATGGTTGGCATTTCAACCCACCAGCCACTTGGGAGAGGAAGATGGGCTCTTCGGATATAAAATAAACAGTTTGGAAACCCTGTGGGGCAGTTCTATTCTGCCCTTTAGGGTCACTTTGAGTCAGAATTGACTCTCTGGCAGTGAATTTATTTGGTTTAGTTTTTTAGTATAAAAACATCCTTTATCCTGTTGGAAAATTGTAACTTAAAGACAAGTACTTAATTGTCTTGAAGTTACCAATTATTTATTAGCAAGCACTATTTTGAAACAAAAAGTGGTGTTGAAATGATAAAGGCTGGATATTGGATAAGAAATGGCTAGAATTGACCTTTGAAAGTCCAGATTAGGCCAACATTCACAACTCTGGCGGTCTTATTAATTGTTACTATTTAGTCAGCAGTTTCCTATGTGGATTTCTTTTTGGTGATTGTGGTAGATGGGAAGACATGTGATTGCAGTTGCTGATGCTGGGCATGCTACCATACCTATCTGGTTATTTTTCAGGGTACAGCTCGCAGAAAGAAGAAGGTGGTACATAGAACAGCTACAGCTGATGACAAAAAGCTTCAGAGTTCTCTTAAAAAGTTGGCTGTGAATAATATAGCTGGTATTGAAGAGGTATGAGCACTGTGTAAATTGTTAAGTTATGTGGGCAAATAGTACATTCATAAATAATTGTCTAGACTTTTCAAATATATTGGGTGAGAAGAATCTTTGATATTGTTGATCAGATGTTTTTGAAGGACCTCAGCTGTTGATTTTGCTTTTTGTATAAAATAAATGATTGTTAGAAAGGATTTCAATACATAGTTAAGTTTTTATCATACTTTTTAGACTGAAGGTATGTGCATAATGACAAAATTATATAATTGTTCTTGAGTTTTTATGCAAAATAACATTTTTTTTTCTAAGAGAAATTAGCCCAGAGACCTTCTTGGGTAAGTTGACTTATTTCCTCTAAGGAGCACCTCTCTATTTTTTAACTCCTTTTAATAATTACTTTAGGTGGGAGGCTTTAATATAAGTTGACATGAATTGGCTTTCTTTCTGGACCTCTTTCAAAAACTACAGGCTAATTTTTTTTCTTTTAGAAAGTAAGCCATTTATTAGATGATAACTACTTGTTTGCAAATATGAGAATAAAAATTGATATTTCAATCAATTACCTAGCATATGTTATCTCCACCTCTATTTGGTAATTTGTTACTCATTTTAAATAATTGCCAGTGCTTAAATTTTCATTACCTTAAGTCAGATTTAATTATTTCATATACTGTGTGTGATCCCACCTCAGAGTTTTTAATAGATGATTAATACAATGTACTACAAAGCATGAGCTAGAAGTAATGCAAATCTCTAATAAAGGGGATCTCTAATAAGGAAATAGCAAAGCTCCCCCCAAAAGGCAAGGAAATAGCACAGAGGAAGCACTTACTCATCTGTGCCAGGAAATTTGGAAGACAGGTACTTGGCCAATTGACTGGAAGAGATCCGTATTTGTGCCCATTCCAAAGAAAGATGACCCAATAGAATGCTCAAACTATAGAATGATATCATTGATATCACACACACGAGTAAAAGGTTGCTTAAGATTATCCAATAACGGTTGCAGCAATACACTTACAGGGAACTGCCAGAAGTTCAGGCCAGATTCAGAAGAGGATGTGGGACAAGGGACATTACTAATCTCAGATGGTTCTTGGCTCAAAGCAGAGAATACCAGAAAGATGTTTACTTGTGTTTCATTGACTGTGCCATGGCATTCAATTGCATGGACCATAAGAGAAGAATGGGAGTTCCAGAACATTTCATTGTATTCATTTGGAACTTGTATGTTCCAAAGCAAACTTGTATGCTCAAAAGGCAGTTGTGTGAACAGAGCAAGGGAATACAGCATGCTTTAAAATCAGGAAAGGTGTGCCTTAGTGTTATAGCCTTTCACCATATTAGTTTATATACTGAGCAAAGCATCAGAGAAGCTGGATTCTATGAAGAAGAATGTGGCATCAGGATTGCAGGAAGGCTTATTAACAACCTGTGATACACGGATGGCACGACCTTGCTTGCTGAAAGTGAGCAGGAATTGAAACACTTGATGAAAAGCAAGGATTACAGCCCTCAGTATGGATTACAACTCTATGTAAGAAAGACCAAAATCCTCATAACTGAACCAGTAGCTAACATTATAAATGATGATGAAAAGGTTGAAGTTTGCAAAGATTTTGTCTTGCTTGGATCCATGATCAATGCTCATGGAAGCACCAATCAAGAGATCAAAGGATGTATTGCATTAGGTAACTCTGCTGCACAAGACCTCTTCAGAGTACTGAGAGCAAGAATGTTACTTAGAGGACTAAAGTGTGCCTGACCCAAGCCATGATATTCTCCATTGCAGCATATGCATGTGAACATTGAATGTCAAAAAGGAATATTAGATGCATTTGAATTGTGATGCTAGAAAAGAATATTGAAAGTACCATGAACTGCTGAAAGGACAAACCAATGTGTATTGAAAGAAATACGGCTGGAGTGCTCCTTGGAGGCAAAGATGGCAAAACTTTGTCTTACAAGGGGGTACTCCCCCCAATGGAATTTTTTTTTTTTTTTTTTTTGCCCAAGATCTATGTATTTAACTTTTTTAGAAAACAACCTTATCACTTTCAAAGTACTCTTCATTACACTTAATACATTTGTCAAATCTGTGATTCCATTCTTGGAAACATTTTCCAAACTCATCTGTTTGGAAGGCTGATAGCTTCTCCCTCGTTTTTTTCTTCACCTCTTTCATGTCATCAAATCGATGCCCATTTTTATGTCCCTCTTTCATGGAAACAGAAAGAACTCTCAGAGTGAGGACAGTTGAGTAAGGTGTATGGGGCAAGAGAAGCATGCTGTTTTTCCCCCAAAACTGGTGCACTGAGATGGCTGCGTGAACAGGTGCATTGTCGTGGTGGCAAAACCAGTTCCCCGTCTGCCACAAATCAGGCTTTTTCAGTCACACACTGTTAACACAATCTTTTCAGAGCCTCTAAATAGAAAGCTTGATTAACAGTCTGACCAGGTGGAATGAACTCCAAATGCACTACCAAGTTGATATTTTCATCCATTCGGGAACTTGATGGACGTCCAGAACGAGGTTTGTCATCAATCGAAATTTCACCTTTTTTGAAATGAGAAAAGCACTCATACACTTGTGCTTTTCCAATAGCGCTGTCTTGTAATCTGCATTTAACATCACAACAATTTCTGCGGCATTTTTCCTAGCAGGAAACAAAATTTCACAGCTGCACAATGTTCTCTTAAATTGGTCCATCACAAAAAATGAGATTCAAGTGAAAATGCTTTTACAAAAAAATTTACCTTCCGTGTGATGGCAGTAGGTGCACTAGTTTCTGTATGCTTGCCTAGCGAGAAAAATGTGTACTATGAAAGCTCGGCTCTTAGTGCAAATCCAGGTTGGTGGGGGTATCCCCTCATATATACTTCAGACCTGTCAGGAGAGGCCAGTCCCTCAAGAAGGTAACCATGTTTGGTAAAGTGGAAGGGCAGTGAAAAAGGGGAAGGCCCTCAGTGAGATGGATGGGCACAGTGGCTGCATCAATGTGCTCAGGCATAGGAACCATGGTGAGGTTGGCACAGACCGGGCAGTGTTTTGTTCTGTTGTGCGGAGGGTCACTATGGGTCGGAGCCGACTCGATGCCACCTAACCACATAACAAGACTGCAATGTGCTGCAAAGCATGAAGTAGAAATAATGCAAAGTTGGGGATCACTAATAAATAGCAGAGCCCCCCCCCCCTAAAAAAAAGGCAAGGAACTGGCAGAGTGATGCAAAGCCCTTCCACCCTGGGTAGAGTAATAAACAAGTTTACATATATAAAGCTGCTTTGTATTTTCAAAATCATTGTACAGTCTCCCACATATATTGAAGTCCATTACTAAATCATGTTTTACATGTCATGACAGTTACATTTCATGTATCAGTCAAATGTTTGTCATAGTACCTAGTGAACCTTTCTAGGCATACAATTGAAAGAAACATTTCCAGATAAAACAGAATTTCATTCACAGGTCTTAACCATTTTTTGGACATGATTTTTTTTTGGTAAGATTTAGTGAATGTTTTTGTATATGATCATTGATCTAAAATAATTTTCAGAGAGATTAATCTGGGTTAGATTTTTTTAAAAAGCAAACATCGTAGGTCTTTCAAGCCTGTTAACAATCCAAAACTTGGTAAAAAGGAACAGGTTGTAGTAATAATTGGACATGAACTCTGAAAACATTAAACTAGCTTGTAAGTATTTAGGCAAGTTGCCTGCCTTTCGGTTTTCCTGCTCCCTGTCCCCTCTCCATCAGCCTTCGCACTACTGATATTTGAACTGTGTAATTGTTATGTGAGCTGCCCTTTCACATTGTAGGATGTTTAGCAGCATCCTGGCCTCTGGATACAAGGTGCCAGAAGTGTCCCCACAGTCATTGCAATAAAAAATTTCTTCAGGAATCGTCAGAGATCCCCTGGAAGCAAAATCATGCTTGGTTGCGAATCACTGGAGTTCCTGGGTGTTGGCATCGTTAACACACGTGATTGCTAACCAGAACGTTGGAGTTTTAAGTCCCTCATAGGGGCCTTAGAAGAAAGACCTGGCGATCTACTCTTCTTCCCCATCAACCATTAAAACCCATGCAGCACAGCTTTCTTTGACACACACGGCATTGCTGAGAGTGGCAATTGGTTGATTTTGTTAAGAACCACTGTTTTAGGAAAAGAGAAATTTTTCATGTAATTAGTTATATTATAAAATATTAATGTAATATTTCCAAGGGACATATTAATATGTCCTTTTTGTCTTAAATTTTTGTTTTGGATCGCATGAAAGAGCTTTATGGATTTCAAAAATCTTCCAGTGAGGGGAGGGAGGGGGAAAAAATGAGGCGCTGATACTAAGGGCTCAAGTAGAAAGAAAGTGCTTTGAAACCGATGATGGCAACAAATGTACAAATGAGCTTTACACAACAGATGGATGGATGGATTGTGATAAGAGTTGTACGAGCCCCCAATAAAATGAGTTTTTTAAAAAACCTAGTGAGAGGTGGCATGAATTTTATATATATTTTATATTGAAATACCGAACAAGTCTGTAATCTTTGAGCCTTTCCGAATACAGAACTCACTGTAATGCATTGCTGAGGTCACAAAATTGTTATATTGTGAAATTGTCAGAATAAAATACTTAATGATGCTCCAATCAAATCCATCACTACCAAGTCAATTCCAACTGACAGTGACACTGTAGGACAGAGGCAAACTTCTCTAAGGCTGGAAATCTTTACAGAAACAGGCTACCACATCTTTCTCCCTAGAGCAGTGCTAGTCAATTTTACTGAATACCTATTACATGTCAAGAATTGGGCAGAGGACTTGCTAAACTGGTACATTAGATGTTATTCATGGTTTCTATCCTTTGGAGCTAACAATCTAGTGAGAAAATTAACAATAGACAGCTAACCAATAAATGTCTTAATCCATTTCAGCATCACAGTATCCCATTGAGTTGGTTGCTTTGGTTACAGATGAGGGAGCTGAGACTTGAAAGCTAGAGAGCTGCCAAAGACCAC